CCTATTGACCAGGTCTGGTGTGGTCGGAGTGGGTCCACAGAGGCTGTCAGGGGCTGGAGCACACGGTGTGTGAGGAGCTGCTGAGGGCATGGGGTTTGTTTGGCTTGGAGAGGTCTAGCGGGGATCTAATTGCTCTGAAACCACTCAGAGAGGTGAGGGGAAGTTTAAGTGAAGATAGAGCTGGACTCCTCTCTGAGATGCACCAAGAAGGGCAAGAGGCAGCAGCTGCAAGTTGTACCTAGAGAAATCTGGATGAGGAGCAAAGAGGAAGCATTGTGCCCGTGAATTGTGCTGCCCTGTGGCCTCAAGCAGCAGGGGGATTGTTGTCCTTGAGGATCTCCAAACCCAGCTGGAGAGGTTTTAGAGAGCCCCGAGCAGCCTGACCAAGGGTGGAAGATGGCTCCATCTTGAGCAGAGGGTTGTACCAGAGGCCTTTCCCACCTAAACTGTCCTGTAATTCTGCAGTATTCAGGTTTAAATGATCTGTACTCTCATATTATTGAATAATTTACCATCTATTTTAGGGCTTTCCTAAACCTTTCATCTTTGCCATCACTACCATGCTAATGAGCGGCCACATCACGCACCAACCTGCCAGCGGCGGAGCTCGTCTGCAGCCCATCCACATCTCACAGAGGTCTCATCCCTGGCTCGCTCCACCGCAGCACATCGTGTCCTGTTGGATCAAGTGCCCTAGCCGTGCTGACTGGGCAGACACTAAAACGCTCCTGCCCTTCTCCTCATCATCTGGAGGGAGGTTTTTCTTGTGTCCTCTCCAGCCTGAATCCTGCCTCCTCCTCTGAGTGCGTCCCCGTCTCCTTCAGGCTGACACTGCTCAAAGGTGTTACTGAGAAATGATCCCATCATTTCTGCCTCCTCCTGGTCCCTTTTTGGGACTGGAACATTCTGTGGCCTTCTCGTATCACTGTGCTGGTGCCCTGTCTCCAGATACCTGGATAGACCTCAAAGGTCACATTTGCTGTGGCTCGGCCCAACCCCAGCAGTCCTCTGGGAACATCATGCTGAGCTGGAGCATTTTCCTTCTCAACCCTTCCAATTTATGAGCAGCGTTTCAAGCTGTGATGCTGAGGAGTCTGTATTGCCTACCCTGGTGATGTTATTTACGGTTCTGGCCACCTGGTGCTCTGGCCATCTGCTGAGGCCTGCGCTGCCTCTGTCTGGAGCTCCCCTGTGCTTGAAGAGGGCTTAAGAACTACCACTGGGTAACCCGAATATCTTCTTGAAGTCACATTTCTCGTTGCTGTCCTCTGCTTGCTGACCTGTCCTTCCTTGCTCCTGACACAGGACCACTGGAGGTCTCCTCCACTCACTCGCTCTGGCAGCTCATCCTGGATCTGTTCTTTCTTGGACCCTCCTTCTCAGCGTCCTCCTTCGGGATGACCATTAGCTTTACATTCAGGTCTTGCTCTTCTTTCAGCCCCAGCAGCACTTTAGCCTCGCTGCTGGCACCATTTTGCCCTGCCTGCTGCTGACACACAGCCGAGCCCCAGCGGTGCCGGGGTCTTCTGGGCCCAAATCCCCCACGGTGTGTCCAGGGCTCTGCATGGGGGCACCAGCTCACTGGGGAAGATGTCCCTTCTGCTGGTCCAGCCGTGGCGTGCAGTGCTTACACGGAGGATCAGCCCAAAATGCACCAAATCCACATCCAAGGCTCTGCACAAGCCCCTCTTTGGCCAGGCTGCATCTCAGGGCTGTCACCCGTAGTGCTGCAGGATGACAAACCATCAGGACTGGCACCAATGTCTGGATTGGCCTTTTCATCCTTCTCTTTACCAGCACTTTGTACTGGATCTGCTTTCTGCAGAAAATTAAGGAAATTTTGGGGTGAGGAAATGGGGTGAGGTGGCCAGGGCATGGCTGGGGTGGGTGTCAGTGCTGAACATGTCTGAGGGTTTGGAGATCAGCATGGGTCGGCAACAAAGAGAGAGGATCCCAAGTTGGAAGCAAGCTGGAAATTGTGTTGGGAAGAAAACAGTGGGAGAACGGAGGGAAGAGCTTTTGACCTGCCCGTCCCGTTGCAGGTTTCGTGTCACGCACATCGGGAAGAAGCCCACCTTCCCCGAGCCGCAGGACGGCGCCCAGCCCGACGGCAGCAGGGAGCTGAGCACGGAGGAGCTGGAGCACAGCAGCGAGCGGCTGCGGAGGGAGCGGGCTCGCAACGGGACTGTCCCCACGGGTGGCCTGGAGAACGGGGCCGTCCAGGGGGGAGCAAAAAGCACGGAGCTGAGCCGCTCCAGCACCCCAGCTCCAAACACACCCGGCAGCCGGGACGGCAGAGCGGCGGGCAGGGTGGGCAGCTCTCCCGGGAGCACAAGTCACCAGCGGAGGCACCCGAGCCGTCGGGATCTGGGAGGGTCGAGCCCCAGCATCCCGGGGCTGCTGGGGCAGGAAGGAGGGCAGAGGGGCAGCATCTGCCAGGAGGAGGCCGGACTGGGGTCAGCAGATGAGGTGTCGGATATTCACGGGAGCCTGAGCCTACACGAAGGGGCGGAGGAGCTGGGAAGGGAGGAGAGCAGCAGAAGACAGCCCGCAGCGGAGGCCATGGGGCAGCAGGTGGGTTCCTCCTCTTCCTCATCCCCTGATGGTCGTCTGGGTTGGAGGGGCTGATCCAAACTGAAATCCACCCTCTTTCAGTTTAAAACCATTGCCCCTCATCCCGTCACTACAAGCCCTAGGACAAGGTCTTCCTCCGTCTTTCTTGGGACCCCCTTTATACATGGGAAGGCCACAACGAGGTCTACTGGAGGCTCCTCTTTTCCACACAGCAGCGTGAGCCCCGCTGCAGGGACCGAGGAGCCGGGGCTGGCTGCGGTGTGGGACCTGCTCCATGTCCCGCACACCCTGCTCCCTTTCCCTAGCTGGATTTTCCCATCCTTTTTCTAATGCCTAATGGCAAAGAGGGGTGCTCTCGTTCTACGGACACCCTCTGAGCGCTTCTAATGGGATGGGTCTGAGGAGACGTGACTTCTCCCTGGGAAGTCACCTTCTCCTCTGCACAGGGCTTATTCTCCCTCGGGGCTCACCGCAGCCAGCAGCATACAGGCAGGGCAAGATGCCCCCAGGAGCCCTTCTGGCCTTGATTGAAGCCTGGGAAGGGGTGAAGCCACGAGGCTGGGGCTTGGTTGTTCTTCCCACCTTGGTGCTTGGAGCAGGGAGCAGCACCTGGGCAGCTCCCAGCCTCCCCACCTGACACCCTGCTGGAGCTGCTAGCGAGCTCTGGGCAGCACTGGTGAAGAGATGGGGTGCTTGGACCCCAGTGGGCTAGCCCGCTCCCCGTTGCTGCTAGAGGAGGAGGAAAACAAAGGGTTTGGGGAAAGAACCTGTGCGTCTCAGTGCTGGGGACTTGTCCCAGGGCTGGGAGCCTGCTTGAAGGAAGGAGGATGGACGTGAATGTGGAAAGCCTAAGGAAGACCCTTAGGAGGGGCTGGTGGGCTGCAGCCTTCCTTCAGAGACCTCTCCAGAGGACTGCAGAGGCAGCAGGAGGTCCTCCTTCCTCCAGTGGCCCATCACACAGCCCTTTCCTTCTGCTCATCTTCCCTTTGGTTCACCGTTGAGGAGAGCAGGGAAGGGGCAGGGAGGACAAAGCAGAAGGTTGAGATGTGGGGCAGGAGAAGCACGGACAGCCCTGGGCACAGCCAAGCACCCAGCCCTGGGGCTGCTCCACTGGGCATTGTGGTGTTGCTTTGGCACAATCAGGGACACGTGGCCACAGGGAGGACAGCGATGGGACATCAATGAGATGTTGGCCACCAAGCTCTGGAGCTGCTCAGCAGCTACCCTGTCCCTTAGGTCCCTGCCAGGGCCACCCTGAGAGCTGTTATCTGCTGCCTGGCACGTCCTGCAGGCAGCAGAAAGGCAGAGAAATGGGAATGGGGCTGTAAGTCAGCGGGGTCACAGCCACCAGCTCCTGGGTCCCCCAGGTCCCCCCAGGAGCACTGCCTGACGCCTGCATCTCTCCCCCTCCCGCAGGAGCCCAGCACCATGGTACAGGACCGAGGAGCCACCGTGTGACGTGAGTGCTCGTCCCCAGCCCCAAGTCCAGGTCCTGGGGTGGGGCAGGGGGGCACGGCTGCAGAGAGGGGCTGAGCGGTGCAGAGCGCCCATCTACCTGCGGGGGGTACCCGGCTGGCCACCGCGGTGGCCGTGGGCCAGCCCCATCCCACTTCTCTCTCCCCGCAGCTCCTCTCCACTCCCGGCCACAGCAGCCGACGGGTGGGACGGGGCCCCCGGCCCCACACCGGGCTGGGGGCTCTGCCGCGGGGGGCAGCCGGCCCCAGCCCCAGCCCCAGCCTGGGCGAGCAGCTTGGCATGGCCAGAGCGACGCGCGGACATTACAGACCTCATCCCATCAGCAATAGTTACCCAACTCCCACCCACCACCAACAACCCCCCACCCCGGGGGTCCCCCCAGCCTGGCACAAGTGGGGATTCCCCCTCCCCCAGCACCCTGCTGCCACCCGGTCCCCGCACCCCCCAGAAGGATGCTGTAGGGATGCTGCAGGGGCAGTGGCACCAGCTCGAGCCCCCCGCATCCCCCAACTCACCGCAGAGCACAGCCCCGGCGGTGCCACCGAGCAGGACGCGGCGCAGCACCCGCCGGCACAAAGCCCCCATCGCCACTGGGGAGGGACTGCGCAGCGCCTGGGGGACGCTGATGGAGATGGGAGCCTCCAGCCCTGCCCTGGCACAGGGCAACCCGGCCCCCAAGGCGAGCTTTGGTGTTAAAGTGCACTGTAAATAGATGAGCTAAAACCATTAAAGCTGCTGAACACAGCGGTGGAGCGAACTGGTTTTATTGGGGCACGGCCACCCCCTGCTCGCACCGAACACGGTGCGGTGCCCAGCACGAGGAGGGGCAGAGGGGCCTGGGGAAGTAATGCTGTGGGCGAGGGGCAGGGGCACGGCTGCCCAGTGCCATACAGGGGTGCAGGAGCACCCTGCAAGCAGCACTGGGCAGGATGCAGCCCCCGGAGAGACCAGCTCGGGGAACAGCGGGGTGCAGGGCAGGTCCTGCTCCCCTCCACACCACCTCCTGCCCCAGGGGAGCAGCCCAAGGGTGGGGGGCACGTTTCGCTCAGGTGAAGATTGTGCAGCCCGGGGAGGGCCAGGGACACCCCCAGGGTCAGCTGAAGTCCAGCTCGGGCTCGGGGGCTCTGCCGGGTGGTGGGGGAGGCGCACGGAGCTGCCAGGAGAGGAGAGGAGATGCCCACAGGCTGAGGCCGGGGGCTCCCCATTGCCCTGACCCCCAGTACAGAGGCTGTGGGGATGCACAACCCCTTTGTGGGGACCCGGGACAGGATTTGGGGGGGAGATCATCGCAGTGAAGGGGCACTTACCGGACGGATGCGGGTGGCCGACAGGTCCGGAGAGCTCTGCCCGCTGCCTGTGCCCTCCTGCCTGCCAACTGGACCCACGCAGGAGCTCAGACACGCTCTGTGGGCCCTCCCTGACACCCCTCAACCCCCAGCACTCACCTCCCAGCAGAGTTTCGGGAGATGGGTTGGAGCCCAGGCTGGTGCCAGGCACGAGGCCGGGTGGGGAGAAGGGTGGCGGGGGACGGCGAGGGCAGCTCCTGCAAGCACAGAGCCGAGTGCTGAAGCAGCGCAGGGCAGCACCTGGGACCCCCCTGCAGCCACAGGTCACTGTCACCAACCTGCCCAGCCGTCCCCCGAGCCCCGGTGAGCTCCTCCACCACCAGCGAGGGGAAGACGCCGACGCGGCCGTCGAAGTCCCCCGTCCAGAAGCCGTCGTCCACCTCGTCCTCGGCGCGGGGCAGCACGCGGATGATGGCACCCTCGGGGAAGCTCAGCTCCTCGGGGCTCTGCCCCTCGTAGTCGTAGAGGGCTCGCACCAGCCAGGCTGCGGGGAGGGGGCTCAGCACCATGGGACGAGGTGCCACAGCCCCATCCCAGGGTGATGATGTCCCCACACACCCACCTCCGGGCTCCAGGACCAGCTCCGCAGCCATGATGCTGGAGAGCTGCCGCTGCAGGGCGGCCCCCGAGGGGCCCACGACACCGGTCCCAGTGGCCAAACTCGGCTCGCTGCCCACACAGCCCAGGGACAGCAGGTACTTCTCGGGGACGTAGCCGATCTGGCCTGCCTTGTTCCGAGCCTGGTGGGGCAGAAGCCACGCTACCATCCCAGTGACATGATGGCATTCGGGTTCCCCTGGCCCAGAACCCTCCGAAACTTCCCCCAGCTTTGGGATGAGCCCGAGGGCAGACCCCGGTCCACTCCGGCTGCCCACACCCACCTTCACCCACTCCTCCATGTCACCATCCTCGATGACCTCCAGCTCCTCTCCCTGCGCGATGGACAGCTCATCCGCCTGGCGGCCCTGCGGGGGACAGGGGACAAGGTGTCACAGCCAGGACAGGGGACAAAGTGTCACAGCCAGGCTGGCGGTGCCATCCCCATGCGGGCAGGGCACCCGTGGCTTTACCTGGTACCCAAAGATGACCCGGCAGGTGTAGGGGTAGGTGCGGGCAGGCAGTGGCCAGGGCTCGGCATCCTCAAACGTCTCGTCACTGTCGTAGTCATCGAACTCAGGTGGGGTCCAGCCCCGCGGGCTCCTCCTCGCCCGGCCGGGTGCTGCTGGGGGTCCGTGGGTGCTCCTCGCCCGCCCGCACGGCCCCAGCCAGCCAGGCGTCCACGTCCAGCCCCGCCGCACGCAGCAGGGCCAGCCGAGCCTCTGCCTTCGCCTTGCCGACCTGAGGCACGGACCGGGAGGGGATAAGGGCACGGACAGGGCAGGGATGGGGAGGGATGTTTTCAAGGGATAAGGTGACCGCTGTGGGGTGGGGGACAGCCAAGCCCCATCCCCAAGCACCCGGCCCCCAGCATGGCTGCTACGTGGCACAGCACCCCAGCACCGTGCTGCCACTGCAGCTCCACGTCCCTGTATCCCCTGTCCCCAAAACCCCTCGGGGCTGACAAACCTACAAACCTCGAGGCCACCCTGAGCACATTCGGGACCCACCTCTGCCTTCCGGATATTTTCTCGTGCTTCCTCCATCTGCCGCTCGACAGCGGCCACCTCCGCCTCGGAGACCTGCTGCCTCCTGGCCTCCAGCCTCTGCAGCACCTGGGGCAGGTCGGGACGGGGGGCGGTGGGATGGGGCTGCAGCTGCTGCCCCTCCTCGAGACCCCTGGGAGGGATGGCCTCAGCCACGCACCCACCTCCTCGCCGTGCGCCTTGTTCTTGCCGTCCCGGGTCACCCGCGTGGCCCAGCGCCGGGCCTCCTTCTCCAGGCTGGCCCCGCCGTCCTCTGGCTCCAGCAGGGACACCTGGATGAGGACACGGTGGCTGGGAAGGGCCTGGGTGTGCGGCCTCCCCGTGTTGTACTGCCCCCCAAACCTACTTCAGGGATGCCGGTGAGCTGGAAACGCTGCTCGGGTGCCAGCGTGAAGGCAGTGTGGTCCTGCAGGAAGAGGAGCAGGTCCTGCTCCCGGCACACCTGCGGCGGGGAGAAGCAGGGGGCTGGGGGAGGGATGCTCACCCGTCCCCACCTGCCAGCCATAGGGGACCAGGGGACGGGTGGCGTTACCCGCGTGGCCGCCTCCGAAACGCTCTGGAACCACTCCTGCGTGGCCCTGCAGGTCTCCACCTCCGCCTGGCCCGCCGTGCTCAAGTGGTCCCGCAGCCGCTCGTAGAGGTCGCCGTCCAGAGCCTGCGGAAAGCCAGTGGCAGACCCCCAAACGGCCCCCGTGTCCCCTCGGGGACAGGGCAGGGGACCACGCTGACAACACAGGGACCTGTCCCAGCCCTGCGAGACCCCCGCCGTGCCCTGCTCAGAGGCTGTGCCCCCCCAGCAGCCCCGAGCTGTGGGGGTGACCCCAGAGCTCCCACCTGCATGACGGCGGGCAGCTCCACGCGGTAGTAGTGGTCCAGGTGGGCATTGGCGGACACCAGCGTGAGGACGTACTCGTTCTGCACGCCCGCCAGCTGCCTCGAGTACTCGGCCAGCTGCGCGGAGAACTGGGGGACAGGGACAGCGAGGGGTGGTGACGAGGTGGGGGACACCACCCTGTGCCATCCCCGTGCCCGGGCACCGCGCCGTGCCCGCGCTGCCCACCTTGGCGCTGAGTTTTTGCAGGCTGGCCTTGGTGTGGAAAATCCTCCGGTCGCTCTTGCGGAGCCTGGGGAGGATGGGGACAGCGTGACAAACCCTGTGTGTCCCCACCACTCCCGCTGCAACCCCCGTCCCCTCCTCACCGTGCCTCCACGTCGGCCGCCTTGTCCTTGGCCACCTCGCTGCTGTGCTGGAGGTGGGTGAACTGCTTCTTCGCCTTGTCCAGCTCCTTCACCGTCTCCAGCAGCTCTGCCTGCGCCTTCTGCAGCTGCTCGATGCTCTGGGAGGGGGACGTCAGCCTTGGACACGTCCCCACTGCCCTTACCCTGTCCCGGGATGGGGACGTGCCCTCAGCCCGTACCTTTTTGAGCATCCTCTCCTTGGACAGGCGGGCGGTCTTGGCGGCCTCGGTGGCGAGGCTGCGGTAGCTCTCGGAGGCGTTGACGCGGGCCTGCCCGGCGTACGTGGTCCCCTCGATGATGCCCTTCCAGACAGTGAGGACGCCCCTGCAGGGATGAGGGCAGGGGATCAGCCACACCGTGGGGCTCCTGTGCTTCTGGGGATGCCCAAAAAATAGCAAAACCAGCCCCTGCCATCCCCGCTGAGCTGGGTACCGCATCCATGGGGACATCCCACCCACGGCTGCATCCCTGAGGCACCCAAATCCTGGCCAGCATTTGCCATCTCCAATTTGGGAAGGCCATGTATCAACCCCTGCCCCTTGTCCCCATCCCCCTGTAGCTCACCTGGAGTCACCGGCATCGCTGCGGCCCCGTTGCCAGTCCCTCTTCACGAACTGGCTGGCCAACCTCTGCAGGGCCTGCGGACAGACCCGCTGTCACCTCTGCTCCCTCGCTGGGCACCCCGGCACCCTGTCACCCACCCCGGGGGTGAGAGCGGGTCCCCTGGGGCTGGCTGCCCACCCTGTGGGTGTCCTCGGGGGGGGGCAGGCTGGGGGCAGAAGGCAGCCTGGGCAGGGAAAGGAGGCAAAGGCTGGCCCCAAGGCAGCGCCAGGGGGTGCAGGGGGTAAAGTAAAGCCCCCCAGGCGGTGGCTTTCAGGAGCAAGGAGCAAGGACCAGGAAGGGGACATTGGTGAGGGACGCTGGCTGCGAAGGCAGAGCAGAGGAGCCCCAACAAAGCCAAGCGCAGAGCGATCTGAGCCCCGCGGGGGGGACACGGGGACGGTCCCCACGGGGTGCTGCACCCACCGGAGAGTCCACCGAGAGCACAGAGCAGGCGAGCGGCCGGGAAAGCAGCGGGGCAGCAGCGGGAGGGAGGCAGGAGGCGCAGCGCAGCGGGGGGACGAGACCCCCTGGAGCCCCTTGGGTGCTGCTAGGGGAGAGAAGAGGGGGTCAGGGGGGTCGGGGGGTCAGAGAGGTCATGGGGTCAGAGGGGTCAGGGAGGTCAGAGGGGTCAGGGCAGGGGGTACCAGGTGCAGTGGCACTGCCACAACCATAGGGGCTGTGGCAGAGGGGACACGAGGTGAGGGTCGCGGGGTGCCGGCTGTGCACAGGACGACCCCAAGGGACACAGCGGGGCCATGCTGCGGTGCTGGAGCCCCGCGATGAGCCAGCACGGGCCAGGCCAGGCCGAGCCGCCCCCACCCCCCCCCGTGCCCATCCCCGCAGGGCCGCGCACCCCGGGGAGACACCGGGAACCCCCCCGAGGGGCCGGGGCCGTTCCCGACAGCCCGGCCCCGTCCTCACCTGCCCGTACTCCCGCTCGATGGCAGCGCGCTGCTTGCTGTACGACCTGCGGGACAAGGCAGGGGGGCAGCGGGGCCGGTGGCAGACCCCGGCATCCCCCCCGGCATCCCCCCCGGTACCCCCCCGGTCCCCCCCATCCCCCCGGTACCTGATGTCCTCCAGCAGCTCGGCGTCCCGCTGCTGCTTGCCCTGCAGCCCGCAGAGCTGCTCGAGGAAGTGCAGCTTCACCTCCTGGCTCAGCTTACCCTGCGGGCACGGCACGGCTCAGCTCAGCCCCGGGGGGTCCCCCCATCCCATCCCCATCCCCATCCCCTCCCCGGCCCCGCGCCCACCTTGCGCGGCGGCGGCTGCATCCCCCCGGTACCCCCCGGCACCCCCGGACCCGACCCCGCGGCTGCCGGGCCCGGAACTGCGGCCCCGCCCCGCCCCCGGCAAGCCCCGCCCCCTCCGCAACAAGCCCCGCCCCCTCCGCATCAGACCACGCCCCCTATGAGTTAGACCCCGCCCCCTCCTCGTTAGGCCACGCCCCTAGTCGTTAGGCCACGCCCCCTCCACGTTAGGCCACGCCCACACAGCCACACCCCATAACGAAGCCCCGCCCACTCGGTGTATTCCCGCCCCGATAAGCCCCGCCCACCGGGGTAAGCCCCGCCCCCCTGCTGTCACCTCCCCTCCCAATATGGGCATGGGGAGGTGGGGGGGACATGGGGACACTGAGATAGGGACATGGGGACAGGGGTCAGGGGGATAAAGGGGGATGGGGACACTGAGATGGGGACATGGGGACAGGGGGACAATGGAACATGGGGACTTGGGGACACTGAGGCACAGGGACAGGGGGACACAGGGACATTGGGACATCGAGATAGGGACATGGGGACATGGGGACACGGGGATAGAGGACGGGGGGACACAGACAGTGGGACATGGGGATGGGGAGACACGGGGACAGGGGGACAGTGGGACATGGAGACACCGAGGTTTGGACACAGGGGCACAGGGACAGGGGACAAAGAGACATGGGGACAGGGGGACATAGGGACAGAGAGATGGGGACATGGGGACACAGGGACAGGGGGACATGTGGGGTGCAGGGACACCGCCACCCCTCACGGGAAGGGTGCCTGGACCCTGGCCCAGCCAGCCCCTGCTGCAGGGACATGGGTGGGGGGGGACAGTGCCATGAGGGTCCCCTCAACCCTCGCCCCCCTGTCCTGTCCCCATGTCCCCATTTCTGTCCCCCTGTCCCCATTGCCCCTCTCTTCTCTTTCTGCTGGCCCTTTCGTCCCGTGCTCTGTCCCTGGGGTCTCCCTGCCATCCCTGTTGCCCCTCCAGGACATTTTGGGGGCATTTTGTCCCTTTGCCCAGTGACGCTTTGCCCCGTGCCGTGTCACCAGCTGTCACCAGCTGTGGGTTGACACGGGGAGCCAGGACAACATCCCGGGGGCCACACAGCACCGGGCTGGGCGCAGGAAGGGGACAGCAGGAGGTCCCACTGGTGGTGTGGAACGGGCTCACCCGAAGCCACCAGACCCGGGGACATCATGTTCCTGGCATGTCCCTGCGCCGCTGGCGAACGTCGCGTGTCACCTCCCTGCTGCGGTTTGCAAATCGTCCCCCCGCAGCCACCAGCAGGCTGCTTCCTCCTCCCCAGCCCGTCCATGCATGAGGCCGGGAACCCCCCTGTCCCCCACAGCCGGTGACATCCCCGCGGGGGGGACACCCATGTCCCCAGGGGTCACCCCCGGCCACCACATCCTGCCGGGCTGCCGGGAACGGGGGCAGCGAGCACGCACGTGGCAGGGGAGGAAGAGGAAGGGAGCCGGTGGCCGTCCAGCCGCGGTGACGCACGGCGGGGCCAGCCCTGGCCGTGGCTCTCGAGGGCACGCAGCTCTGGCAGAGGCCACCCTGCCGAAATGTCCCCGCCGGTGACTTCTCCTGGTGCCACCGCCGCCACCTTCCTGCTCGGCTTGGCCACCCAGCTCCCCCTGGGTAAGTGTCCTGGTGGCTGTCCCCTGGCGCGGTGACACGGGTGACATGGGGCTGGGCGCAGCGGGATGGGGGGGACGACAGCTTGGCACTCGGAGGGGGTGGCTGTGTGACATGGTGACAGCTCCGGTGGTGCAGACCCCTGAGCCCGGGGGACATCAGGTCCAGGTGTGCCGGGGGACAACTTCCCCTCCCGGCACCGAAAAGCAACACGCTGTCCCCTGTCCCCTGTCCCGGGAATGGTGGCAGGGTTCGCAGGGCACCTTGTCCTCATGCAGGGTCCCAGGGGCACATCCAGGCATGCGGTGGCCCAAAATCAGGGTGGGAACCTGGGGGGGCTGCGGTGCCCCAGCTGCAGGAAGGGGCCGGCTGTCACTTGCTCGGCGGTGGCTTTTTTGGGTCCCTGCTTGTTCCCTGCTGCTGCGTCAGGGGAAAAGCCTCCGACCACAGGGAGCCGGCGAGCTGCATGCGGCCAGGGCTGCGCCGGGAGGAAGAGGAGGAGGAGGAGGCAGGACCCTGGTGGCTTCGTCCCAGCCCTGTCCTGGTGTGGGTGGCCGTGTCCTGTGCCCCCCAACCTGGGTGAGACCCCCCAGGGTCTTTCATCCCAGGCACCCCAGTTTGCACCCAGCGGGGTGCTCGGGTTCCTGGGTGCCCACGCTGCAGGGAGCCACCTCCGCTGGGAGAGGTGACAGCTCCTGGGGGTCCCCGTGGGGAAGGGGCACCGGGAGGTGCTCTCAGCCCATCCCCACGCCTCGTGTCCTCTGCAGCCCGTGGCAGGGGGCGCGTCTTGTGGCCCCTCACCCCCCAGGAAGAAGCCAAGTGCCCCAGCGGCTCCGTGGAAGCTTTTCTCAACGGCACCATGTCCACCCGCCTCCTGCCCGCCCTCTACTCCGTGGTGCTGCTTGTGGCGCTGCCGGCCAATGCTGTGGCCTGCTGGGTCCTGGTGGCCAACTTCAGGAGGTGCTCCAGCTCCCTCTTCCTGCTCAACCTGGCCGGCGCCGACCTCCTCTTCGTCCTCCTGCTGCCCTTCAAGATCTGCTACCACCTCCTGGGCAACCACTGGCTCTTCGGGGACTACCTGTGCCGCACCACGGTGGCCCTCTTCTACGGGAACATGTACAGCTCCATCCTCTTCCTCACCTGCATCGGCCTGGAGCGCTACATCTCCGTGGTCCACCCGTTTGCGCTGAGGGGCTCCAGGTGGACGTGGGGCAAGGCGGGCGTCTGCGTGGGCATCTGGCTGCTGGTGGGGCTGGGCATGAGCCCCCTGCTCCTCTACTCCCAGATAAAGCACAATTCGCAGCTGAACATCACGACGTGCCATGATGTCCTTGAAAAGGACGAGCAAAAGTTCTTCAAGTCCTATTTCCTCTCACTGGTGGGGCTGGGCTTCGGCGTGCCCTTTGTGCTCATGACCATCTTCTACAGCTGCATCCTGGCCCGGCTGCTGGCCAAGAACAAAAACTACCGGCACGTGGTGTGCGTCCTGGCCGTGGTCTTCCTCGTCTTCATCCTCTGCTTCACCCCCAGCAACGTGCTGCTCTTCATCCACTACCTGCTGCAGGACACGGTGTGCAGCAACACCACCTACATCTGGTACACGCTGGCCCTGGCCTTCAGCGCCTTCAACAACTGCTTCGATCCCTTCATCTACTTCTACGTCTCCCGGGATTTTCGGGGCTGGGTCCGCAACAGCTGCTGCCCCCAGCGGCTCCGGACGCGGAGGGGGTGGGAGAAGGCAGCCTCGTGCCTGAGGTCCAGCGAGCAGACCCAGCTCTAGGTGGGGCTGGGGACGCGGGGCTGTGTCCCCTGTGCAGAGGGCTCGTCCCTGCCGAGCCCCCCGTCCCCAGCTGGGAATGACCCAAAGGGGACAGAGCTGCTGCCCTGAAACCTTCGGCAGCATGGTCCCCACCGCCCCATTCGTGGTGCTGCCACCTCCGTGCCCCAGTCCCGCGGGTCCCTCCCCACCCGGTGTCCCCCACCGTTCGCCCTGTGGTGACCGAACCCCCCAGAGTCCAAATAAACCTTTATTTCTCCCTGCTGGTGCAAGGAGCAGGTATAAACGCCCCAGCTGGGCAGGAGCTGTCCTCCATCGCCAGGACCATGCACCGGGCACACGCGGCCAGCCCCGCTGCTAGGACACCCCCCAGAAATGCCCCACGATGCGTGCAGGAAGGGAAAGGGGGGGCACACTGGGTGCCTCGATCCTGCGCCAGGGGACCGGGGCTGGGGAGGAGACGTTGGGCAGAGCTCACGCGGGAGGAAGGCTGCACCCTGTGCACCCCGTGTCCCTGGCACCACGTGCCCCGTCTGATGCTCACGAGCATCGCAGTTCTGCTTTTATTTTCCCTATGACTCGCTCCCCTCGGCGCTGAGCCAGGCGGCGGCGGGTGTGCTGCCCACACACAGACACACGTCATCGTCCCCTGTGCCCCCAAGAGGGTGGCACCGTGCCGGCTGCTGGTCCCCACCTGTCCCCGCTCCCAGCCCGGCCCCAGGGGGAGGCCGGGAGGAGGAGGAGGAGGGTGCTGGCTCTGCAGTCCCCTCCCCGTCACTGCTGCCACCAGATGTGACTTGACCCCCAGGTCGGTGCCACCCCGGGTCATGTCACCGGCTGGCCTGGCCCCGTCGCTGGCGGCTGGCCCTCGTTCTTCCTGAGGATGATGCTGCTGAGCTCCTGGATGAGCTTGTCGTTGATGGACGCGGAGAGCTGCATGCTCCTCTTCCTGCTGACGGAGCTCTCAGTGCCGGGGCTGCTCTCCAGCATGGCCACCGGCTCCTGGTCCCCAGCCGGTGCCGCGGACGGCTCCATGTTCCTCTCCAGAGAGGCCGTGTGGGTGGCTCTGGGCCCGCAGGACGGGGCCGTGTCACACTCCAGGTTCAGCCCCAACTCGAGGGACAGTGCTTTGGTGACGGAGAGGCCCGGCGGCCTCTGCGCGGGGCTGGCGGGCAGCGAGGAGCGCAGCGCCGGGGCCGGGGGGTGCTCGGGGCTCGGGGTCGGCTTCTTGGATCTGTCCACGGGGGGCACGGCCGAGGGGTCCGCCAGCAGCCCCCGTTCCAGCTCCAGCGCCGCCAGCTCGGGGAAGTTTCCCACCTCCTCATAGACGGGCTCGGCGTCCGCCTCGTTCTCCTGCTGCTCCTCCTCCAGGGAGTCCTGGTGCACCTTCATGGGCTGGAGGGGACGGGGAGCGGGGTGAGGGGCAGTGCCTGTGTGTGCCCGCACAAGGGTGCTGCCCGGGGAGCTTTGCCCTCCTGCAGTGGGGCTGATGCTCCAGGCAGAGCCCCTGTGGGGCACCGGCCCTGCTTTGGGTCTCTGGACACGTCCCTGCTGCCCTTTTGGCCAGTGGAGATGGGGCACTTTGGGCTCCAGTGGGGCCAGATCAGTGTCACCAAGTGGGGGCATTGTCCCACAGCCCCTGGCAGTGGTAGTGGGGGGGGGGAAAGGCC